GCCAGATTCCTGACCTGGAAACCACATTCCTGACTCTCGAGACACTTCCCTATTCCTGACTCTCGAGACACTTCTTTATTCCTGACTCTCTAATTTCCTATACGATTCCTGAGTCTTGAGCCACATTACTAATGATGATGTGGCACCTCCTCGACCTCAACTATATTTAAGCCGTCATCAATCCAAGAGTGGTGGAGCTTCATCAACTTATAGTATATATAGGTTAGCCTTGTTCTATTTTTCCACAATCTGAATCAACACCAGTCTAAAGCTTTTTCTTTCTTTCCACTAGCTTTTCTCTTTGTCTTTTGCATTTTCCAGTCTTGATCTTGTTGGGGGTCTTGACAAGTTAAAAATTTCATAGGATAAGTGTTAATCCTTTAATTTTCTATCTAATCTTTTTCCTTTACCTTCTACTTTTTCCTAACCTTTTCTTATTTCTCAACCTAAACCACTTTTTCATATTCTTAGCTTCTTTATTTATACTATTTCCTTCTTTTGATATATCAATCATTTATGACTTTTATAATTTTCATTCTCAACTCAATGTTGAATTGAGTGTTTTTTATCTTTTTAGTTGAGTATGTGTGTGCTGTTGTTTTGTTGGTAGAGTCTTTAATTAGTTTTAGTGTTAAATATTTGTTTATTCTAAGAGTTGAGTCACTTTGGCTAAAGTTTTGAATTAAGTGTATATTCCCATTTATGAATGTTGTTGAGAGCCTTTGTTTTATCATTGCTATTATAAGGATGAGTATACATAATAGTGGAACAAATTGTAAATAACTAAAGAGAACAACTTGAGAAACGGTCCATGGGTTTAAATATAGAGGGAAAAGGCCCATGAATAAAAATGCACCTTTTTTTCCAATCGGTTAAGGGTATTAGGATATTTGGGGTTAAGTGTCCTTGGGTTTCAATAGTACTGGGCTAGGTGACCTCCTGGGAAGACCAAACTTAGAAGCTTACATAAAAGTGAATAACATGGATTATGAAGTAAGGATAAATATAGTGACTCTAAATAGAGCATCCAACCTTAATATAATAAGGCTGAACAGATGTAATAGTGGAATGAGGCTGACTATTAAATATAGTTATACACACACACATTACCCTGTTTAAGTAATATGTTAATTATAATACTATAGCATATGGACTATTCATTTGGGAATAAATATGGTCTATCTATTCTTGTATATAAGTAAAGGTGTAAACCTCAAATGATATATTTATTTCTATATCCTGAGCATTTATATCTTGTAAAAGAAATTTTAAAAAATAATTATATCTCAAATTAATTTAAACTTGAATATATCATATAAAATTATAGTTCAAAGATAGTTTTATCATTTTAATATTTTTTAACAATTATCTAAAAACCTAATGATAGTAATAAAAGAAAATATTTAAATGCATTTGTGATTGTATAGCATTTGGACCTCACACATCTAAATAAAATTTATATACTATCCTGAGTACTTTAGAAGTTTATATTTGAAAGATGTAAAATAAGTAATATAAAGTGAATCTTTCTCTTACTCTAAATTAAATTAAAATATATTATTAATAATATAATTATTTTAAATTTTTTAATCATAAGTGAGTATGTTTAATAAGTAAACAGTTTCTTATATCAAGTAAGCATGCATTTAAAACAATAAAAAATAAAAAATAAAATAAAATATAGTAATTCACATTGTGAATGTATGAAATATTAAAAAGGAATACAAAAATGTGCATCCACAAACTGTAGCTTATATATAAGAGTAAGTAGTCCAAATTGAAATCAATCCAATAGTTATCAAAATCTCATTACACTAATATTATTATACGGCATTATAACTGTACATTTGAATCTCATATCATCCCTTCCTCTCAAAAAAAGTGAAGACAGCCAGTGTTCTTTAGTGGACGGACTAAGATCTAAAGGAACATTAAAAAGAGGTATCAATGGCTTTATAGATAGTGTTAGTTGTTCTTAATCCTTTTATATGAAGTGTTTTAATTATTGTACATATATAATTTTTAGAGGATTGGCATGTTGAATGTTATGCCAAACTTCATAAACTTGTGGTCCAACTTGTTGCAACACCCGATACAGTACTTTCCACTGAGCAAAGAGCTACTTAAACAAACCACATATCATAAAATTAAGAAAATAGATTAACATCGATTCATCCACTTTATTCTCTATAAGTGAACAATGATGGGAGTTATAGCACCATTGTTATCCCATTTTATACAACCTAAGTGTTTATCCAACTTTGCTCGAACAAGTGGAAGAATGGTTATTAAATACTAATTTGAAAACCTAGCATCAACAACTCGAGGTAAATATCAATTTAAACCCAACTTTATTAATGATATTATGTTATGATTATATAGAAGTTTATATGGTGAAATATCAACAAAATTTTGTACCTTTGTAACATACGCATACTAAAGAGATGGTAAATAACCATCCCAATTTAAATATTAAAAATTCATGTACTTTACAATTATCCCTTTAAAGGTCCAAACAAGCCATCACCAAGCCATCTATGTGTGGATGATAGACTTTCATGAAAGTGTTGCATATTGTTGAGAATCAATGCATAAGTGAATATTCTCATTAGGCTTTGTGACAAGATAAAGTTCACATGCTTAAGGACTTTATGACTTTCAAATACTATACTATCCAAAAAATTCTCAATTGTTGTTCAAAACATTCCCAAGTATTGTCCATAACATTCCCAACTTCATCTGCTTTGACATATTTGGCTCTGCACGAAGCAAGACATTCTAGAAGTGAACATAAAATTGCATGAATGATTATGATAGCTTTTGATAAAGGAAATGCAACTATTGAAAGGCATTATTATAATTATTAACATGCCCAAGTTTATGTTTTAAGACGTCCGAGAGAATGCTCCAATCCACACGATTTGCTGCACTTAAACTATTGTACTATTGCAACACGGTCCCTTGGAGGCACATAGGAAACTCATGCAAATACCGAGCATTATCTCAAAAATAATAAGTAGCAATCATTATAGTATCATCGAATCAATGGTACACATCATCTCTAGGATTCCCATGGAATAACTTTGGCTAGATGCAAGGATTGGCAATAAGAGTAGGAGGAGTTGTACCACATGCCATGAATAACACTATCAACTGAGTTTAATTTTTTAACTACAATTACATAATATTAAACAACTACATTGACTACTACTATAGAATTAAGGTTGTTGCTTTGCCATGAAGATAAACAAAAAGAAGAAAAAGCAAAAAAAAAAAAAAGAAATTAAAAAAAAGTAAAATCTAAATAATGCAAAAGTTAAATCTAAACTAGAATCCTAAATCCAAGCATTCAAAGCTCCACCATTGTGCATGGAATATGAAAAAGGATTCAAATTGAAACCAATTCAACAACTATCAAAATTCCACTACACTAATATTAATATACAGTATTGTAGTTGTACACTTGCCAATTTGTGTAATGACATTTTGGAGAAGTTTAACACTATTAATATGAAAAAACCAAATTAAATGGCATTATATGTAATTCAGTTTTCAAGGACTCAGATATTGTTCATATTATTTAGAAAATAAACTACAAGAAAAACTAAAGCTACAAAAATGCTGCTTATCATTGGACTTTTCTTTAGTACCATTTACCATTTCTGATTACTTTGATGTGTGTGTGTGTGTTAGAGAGAGAGAGAGAGAGGGGGGCTCCAGTGATGAAGGGTAAATGGACTCCAGGGTCTCCTTCTGTGTTTTTCTTTTGTTTTCTAAAAGCAATGCATAGATTATTTTTGCTTAATCTTTTAATCATCTGAGTGGTGGTGTTGTTCATCTATGAAACAATGTCAAATCAATCCCCTCTCACCGACGTGCCGCAGTGGCCAATAGACGAAATGGATTCCATCGATCGCGGGCCAGAACCAGAGAAGGAAAGCCCTTGGTTGGCTGGCTGGTCCCAGTCTTTGGTGACGCTGATTGATTGACACGGACCAGTTGCATGCATGGGTGCTTGACAAGGAAAGGTCAGTGTTACTCTTGTCAATTGTTGGTGTTGTTGGCCCATGGGACCCCAAAGCGATTTTGATGTAGCAACGCAACCCAGTCATATGCACTTTGGAGCTGCAACATGACCGGTGCACAGACAACATGCAGTTGCTCGAAAAGAATACAGCACATCGCCGTGCGTTCGTGTTCACGATTTTCGTCCCCTGTGCAATTCCGGCCCTTGTTGGACTCCTCCTAAAAGGCTTGAATTCTTGCATTCATCAGTCAGTAGTCTTATAATGCTTGACATTGGGTACCACAAGACTATCAAAACAACATATTCATAGGGCACACAAATATGCCACTCCCATTTGGCAAACAATTGAGCAGTGCAATGCTTTCCCCACTTCCCTCCACTCTCTTTCCCACATCTTCCTTTTTTCCAAGGTGGCCCATGTGTGCCTCTTGATGTCACATAAAAACAACCCCTCCACAATGTACATGAAATTTAAAGTTGGGAAAGAATCAATCCACCCACGCAGCCAATCAGGATGTACGTATACAGAGGATCAAGTTACGTAATTCACCTGAAGATCAGGCATAATTTACATACACCTTTTAAGATTTCTGATACTTGCCAAATTTTTCCATCAATGTTTAACTACATCCATGTGAACTGCGAATTCCGCTGCCTGCTTCATCCCTTTTTTTGTCTTTTGGAGGCTGCAGCATTCATCGTGTACTTGTCTTATACGCAAGGCCCGTATAAGCTCACAGCCGCGTAGGAATTTATGAGAGCGTGCTCTGCCTGCGCATGCAGCTGTGAAGATCACGCACGACCGCGGGACGAGACGATTCTCGCTCGCCTTCGCTCGAGTTCTCGTCCGAAAGTAGCCAGCGGCTGGTTCCTTTTGTGCGAGATGATATAAAAGAGAGGCGGAAAGGAGAGACTCTAGAACGAATCGATCGTCGCCAATCCACCACCCTCGTTGCTAAACCCCACAGTGACTCTAATTTGCTCGTGGCTGCTGCTGGCTCTCGATCGCCGCCGCCACCGATTGTAGCACGCCCACCTGGAACCGCAAGAACATCATGTAGTCGGCGGCCTCGCCCAGGAGGACCGAGCAATTCATGTCGTGTCCGCCGGGAACTAATCCCTGCAATGCCTTGACACGAGATTGGATCGTCTGCTCGTCGTCCCTGCTGGATCGTCGCTGCTGCTGGGATTGCATGATCCTGCGCTTCAATCGTCCCTGGCATCGGCTGGCACGAACCTGGCGCGCCGCGGCCTTGAGAATACTGCGATGCCTCAGCCGCCGGCAAATCTTTCGCTTGGACGAGCGCGCGACCCGCAGCAGCGCTGGAAATCTCCGGCCCGAGGAGGAGAGATTCGACCCGGCGGCGGCGGCGGCGGCGGCGGCGGGTGGATCTTGTTGCTGGAGCTGATCGCCCAGCGCGGCGCTCCACCCCGCGCCGCTTCCAGTGATGGCAAGCGATCCGTCGGCCAGATTCTTGATCGCCTTCCCCCGTTCCGTGACGCTCAGATCAGCGTTCCTCATCATGGTGCCTAGCGGCGGCAAGAGGTGGCTCTTGAGCAATTCGATGTAGTAGTCGTCCATGGGAGAGGGAAGGAGTCCCTCCACGGAAAGGAACTCGGACAGAGATCTCGCCGCGATCTTCAAGAACTATGCCAGAGATTGCCACGACGATCGGAGATTTCGAGAGAGCAGCAAGATTTCGGCGCGATCAAGGGACGAATCGCAGCGGCAAATCGCGGGAAGCCGATATTCTCGCACGGTCGTCTCGAATTCGCGGAGACCAACCGTGATTCGTGGAGATTTCGGAAGCGCAATCGATCAAGAAATCTATAGAACCTCCATTCGCGCCCTGTGACGATCGATCGAGCCGCGCCTCCCTCCAATTCGATCGACCGAGAAAATGTGATACTGGGAAAGAACCCTCAAATTTAAAGAAACCCCGGGGTTCGTCCCTCAAACGGCAGCACGGCGCATCGCGGCCGTCCAATGCGAAATCCAGCGGCCGCAATCGCGCCACGTCACTGTGGCCCAAAAGAAAGTGTCCAAGATGGGCCTCTGGGCCCATCCCGCGCTTTGCGGCACGCACATGGCTGCACATGATTGCATATGCGGGGCTGGCCATGGGGTGGTGGCCACTGGCCATAATTTGGCCCGGCCACATTCAGTAGTGGCCCGCCGTTCACATGGCACGGCGTTGAAAACGGGCAACGCCAAAATAACTGGCCACCCCACGGTACGGCTCGTGACGGTTGCCGACGTGGAGAGTAATGGCCACCTCTCCTCCAATCATGGTCACGGATATGGGCCCAGCCAAGGCCCACGGCCCAATTATGAGCGCGTAAGAACGACGTAATGCAGGGACCACTAGCATGGAAATATTTTATAATGGTTTTCGATCAAACCATTTTTCAATCGTATCGGCTCGTACCGAAGCCCCTAAATCTTACACACATCGCGTGCTGGGCGGAGGGAAAGCATCTTTGCATTTTCTATGGTAGAAGGATTCCTTGTGAATACAGTTGAGATGCTCTTTCTAGCGAAAGGTGGTGGCGAGGACGTCACCCAAAGCCTTTGATTGACATGACAAAGCGCAAGCGCACAATTCTTAAAATTTAAATAGTGGTCTTAAGCACCGAGAAAGAACCAACCCCACTACATGGAGGGGACAAGGCCGTACGCGACCACCACCCATGTGCGCCAATCCAATGGCCATTATTGGACTTGTAGAGCATACGTACTTGGCGGCATATACTTTATCAATATTCTTCGTAGTTTGTAGCCCGTCAAAGGTGAAGGTCAATGCCCCCTTCCACTGGTGCTGGTGAACAGCCCTACAACGCATTGTTTAAACCCCTCTTATTAGACAAATAACAGTGACGGTTTAGCTTTAAGCTGGATTCTGGAAGGAATGTACTCGTCACGCACAGGTCATCCCACCTCGACTTGAGCAAACACAACATTCGGCGCTTGGATGGATCTTATCGCCGGCCTAATCAATATGATATTGATCGTAATCCTCGCGAGTAAACAAAGATGTCTATGGAATGGACCACTCACCTGGAAGCTCTTGGATTCTTCTCTCTGGCGCCCCATTTATTTACTCCTGTTGTTACATTCCTTCCCCCTTCTCCTCCCTTCTTTCAGCTTAAGAATAGAAAAGTCATGAAAACGAGGAGGGGTTGCAATGACGAAAAAAAGTATTGTTTACATGATTACCTCACTTTTTAACAGTATTAAGATTTCTAAGTGGGAGCTCACCCCCGTTGGCTACTATCCTGTTGCGGTGAATTTGTCTTGGTTTTCCTGCACGAACTGCAGGCCAGTGCGCAGGTTGGGCTTGAATCTACCCACTGCGTGCGGCCGGTGGCCTGCTTCTGCAATCTGCAATCTGCACACTGTTCTGCAATCCGCAGTGCAGCGAGGGCGCTGCAGATCTCAGCATCAAGGCGCAGTGTACGAGCTCTGATTTGTAAATTGCGACCGAGGAAAAGAAACTCTTGTCTGCTTCCTCGAGCAAACCGCATGTCAAGATCCAAACCACACAAATATGTATAAACAAGTTGTCATTCATACCCGTTTTATCTCTGGAGCCACTGTTGAAACAAAGACGAGCTCGGAAAGGAGATAAAGAAAGCTTAGAAATTGTAAGTTCTTACTATCCATGGACATGTGTCACGGACACTTCAAAACTTCTCTGTAAAGCCGTACGGAGAGAGCTTCGTCACTGCGTCACATCGTCATACGCAAGACTTCGAGTTATTTTTACGCTCAAACAAGTCGGCCGTGAGCAGAGATCGTACCTCCTCTCGTTCGTCATGCACTTTGAAAGTTGCCCATGAATTCGTGTAGATGCGGCGCATGACTGACGCCTCCAACGACGCAGCACAGCGTGGGTTCCACAAGCTCTCCTTCCAAATGCTGCGGAATCTCTAAGCCTTAGGGTCCAATCGCAGCAGGAATGGAAAAGAAAAAACTCTATTTCTTTGTTCATAAGAAGTTGAGCGCTGGATTCACAGGCTGATTTCCCACACCAGGGTTCAGTATTTGCAAAATGTACACGGCGAGAATAAAAAGGTGATAGACTTACTGTGCATACATGTGGCGAAGCCTTCAACGGGCATCGGTAGTAGATAATAGGATTTTCTAGCCTATTTAATTAAGGTGTGAAGTATAAAACTAAGTCACATAAATACATACAATTATTTTGAGTGTTTTCTTAACAATTATGCTTAGAGTTGATTTGGAAAGAAAAGCCAATAAAATATAAATATAATTAGGTTGAAATAATATTTACCTTAGCTAACCAAGTATGATAAGCATTTTAATTGTCCATTTCAAACTTGTTTGTAACATTAGAAGATTATAAAGTGCCTCAAAGGAAATAAAAAACAAAAGTTCATATTTATTTTGATGTTATTTTATTTTGAAAATCCTCTTTTGCAAGAGACTATTCTTAAAGAATTAATATAACAATTTATTAAATCATCCTTCTATATTTAAAAGAGCAAGGGCGACATATTCAATCCAGATTCCTTTTTTTTCTAAATGTTAGAAAAAAAGGTTATTGTTGTTTTAGTGGTACATTCTCTATTAGCTTGGTAAGGTTGGTCCCTTTTCCTTTTGAGTTGAGAATGCTTTTTATGTGTCTTAGAGCATATTGGCGGGATTGGAGTCAAGGTTAAGCTCATCGACTCAGAATTTCCTTTGCTTAAAGGTAATGCAATCCTTTTTCTATTTTTTATTGTTTTTTTTTCTAGCTAGAAGGTCTCTCCACCGATCTTTTAATGCGATGCTGTTCATCGAAGCATGGGAGCTTCTGTATCATAGGTAAATGTAATAACTCTTTCTTCCCAATTTTATGTCCTTCAACAGCTTATGTCATTTAATTCCAACGATTGGACAAACAAAGAGGTTGAGCTTATGTTGTTTATTGGTGGCAATGCAGCTGCAAATGTTGCATTCAAGGCCTTTGTTCTTAAAACTTGCAAAAGACCATTGCCGGATTTGTCAAATCAAGAGCGAGCAAAATTTGTAAGGTTTAGGAGATGCAAAACCGTTTTCTATATTTTTTTTTTAACAATCAATGTTTTTTCAGAAGCAAGTATGAAAGACAAGAATTTGTAAAGCCATTTATGTGTTTCGCTTCCTCTTCTTGAGAATCGACATTATTTTCAAGGCAAGAAGATTTTTCTTCTCTAGTTTGTTCAAAGCTTCAATTATAGAGGCAAAAAATTTTAATTGCAAGGTCTGCAGGGATTTTTTGGATTGATTTGAGTGCATATAATAAAAGGCATAAACTTTACAGTGAGGGACTTCATGACTAGTAGTTATTAAACTTGGAAATATTGACCAATATTTTTATCTTTACTACTCACATATAAAATGTAAATTTTGATAAATTTAAATGATTTAATTTTACATTTATCTTTGATATAATTTGGTTAGTATTAATGCCTTCTTTGGGTTGAGACAAATGTCCAGAAAATAAAAATAATAAAATTATCTATATAAAAGTTAAATTTTCCTCTTCTTTAAAATAATTATAATTTTGGAAAATATCTAAAGGATTTAAGTTTCTTTTTCTGTTTACATACAATTTTGATTTTTACAAGATAAATATAAATTTGGAAAAAAATTCATTAATTGATAAAAAGATATCTAGATTTAACAAGTGAGCTGTTTTTAATTATTTTATTAATATTTACTAAAAAATAAAAAATAAAATTTAACAATATCATTTTTTATATAGATAATTTCAATAGATATATGATAAAACCAATAAATATAAATTGAAATAGTAAATAAGTACAATTTTTGATAAAATTTATGAAAGTTCAACTTCAGTCATATGAGTCATCATTTTAAAATACTCCATATTAATTATTTTGTGTGTGAGATCAGAGTGTATAGTTACAATGTTGTATATTAATATTAGTATTGTGGGATTTTGATAACCATTGGATTGGTTTTAATCTTGACCACTCACTCCTATATATAAGTTAGAGTTTCTAGGCTAATTGGTATAAACAAATACTTTACTTGGTATTCGAGACTAATCCTCTAGCAAAACTTAGTTATAAATAATATATCATCAAGGATTGATTCACCATATCCAAGATTCCATGAAATCCAACTCTATAAACTAAATGTAACCAAATGATATCAACAAAAATGGAATTAATATGCCAACATAGAAAAACCATACAAATTTAACGACACAATCCTTCACAACCCCATTTGGTAAAGTAAATTTATCATTGATAAATTTTCATCGAGTAAAGTAAATGTCAAAAGTCCTCAACGAAGTCTACAAGCAATCACTAGTTGTAAGCAACTAATAATCAATCTTCAACTTACTTTCACAAAACCCTAACACTAAACTCACATTATCGAATTATATACTTATCCAACAAGAAGGTAACACCTTAGGTACATGGTCAAGCATAAACTAAATGACTACTTGAATCCAACTTAACTGCAATAAATTCACTAATGTGTTTAACCAACAGTTCTGAGCATGCTTTGAAGAGGCTAGCTATACATAATTAACATTTAATCAAAACTAAAGTGAAGATCATAAG